GGGTGAGGCGGATACAAACTGCCAAGTTTGCATACCTACGTCGCAGACGGCGAGACGTCTCGCGAATAAGGTTGGTTACCTCAGGTTTAGGTCTGTTGTTTAGTTTGAGCAAAGTTTTGGTCGTGTCATGTGTGAGTTTTGGGGTCGTTCGGCTCGGATAGGAAAGAGGCCCCCCAAACCTAGTGACACACGCGTGCTGTCGTGTGGGGCGGGGTGCTAGCGGGGTGCCCTCCCTAGGGCATAGGGGGGACGGTCGGGTCAGCTGCTGCCGGGGAGAGGGTGGGAGAGCAGGGGTGCGGTCGGGCAGGGTGCGCTGGGGTGCCCCCCGGGTGCAGACGAGTCGGCATTGTGCGGAGCAGCAACAGCTGCGGTCACTTGCAGCTTGGACGTTAATTACCGCACCCCTCTCCTCCCCACTACTCTCCCCTTCTCCACTAACCCTTTCCCTCCCCCTTTCCCTGCATGCCGCGCAGCTCTGATCCACATCGCTGTTCTCATGCACGCAAACCCCAGCTGTGCGGCGTATGCCGTTCGAAGCGCCCTACCTCTCTCGGAGAATAACAAAAAATGAACGTGACATGTGTCACCCTTCATGAGCCCCCCGTCCCCCCCATTTCCCCTGCGTGGTCTCTCTCTCTCTCTCTCTCTCTCTCTTACGACCCTTTTTTCTGTTCTGGCGTTTATTCTTAGTTTAAAGTCGTCAAGTCTCCTATGACACTGTGGAAAATAGTCGTAGGTTTGCTGGGAAATTTTGCCTGTTACCTGTCGTAAAATGACAATTTGGAATTGTAAATTTAAGAGCTCTTCATATCGACTTGGAATGCTCCGACTATTAAATGATGGGCTGCTGCAAACTTATACGACATAGTCTGTAAATATAAATTGAGACGAGTGCTGTAAATTTACGATAATATTTTTCACAGTGGACCAGCAATGCCCCCTTTTCCCTCCTCTTAAACCTGATCTAATTCCTTGTTCAAAAGAAATTGGTGGCTGTTCATCTGGTGCGTTTGCTTTTTCCCGTGCCCTCCATTCGAAGAGAATTCTCGTGTCTGACGCGCACTGAGAGGCTGTCCCGTCGAGCGGGTCGCTGCTGTGTACCTGCGCAGCCTGCGCCATCTAACCCAGTTAAGCCAAGTCAACACAGGGGGGATGCAGAGGGCGGCGGCGGTGCGACTTTGGCCGTGTGGAGTTTGTGTCGCGCTCTGCCTGCCGCGGCCCGCAGGGAGTCTTAGCAGCCGCAAGGCGCGGTCACATGAGAGAGAGAGAGAGAATGAGAGAATATGTTTGTGGGGGGGGGGGAGTTACGTTTTACCCTAGTCTGAAAGCTGCTGCTGCTCGGGGTTGCTTTTATTTTCAAAATTATAGTATTTGTGCGTCGTCTGCTGCAGGACGACGTAACAGGCAGTATTTTTGTTCGGAGAAGACTGCGCGCAACGTTTTGCCGTAGTCAGAAAGCCCCTCTCGCGCGGTTAATGTGCTGCTTTTATTTTGAAAATTATAGTGTCTTTGCTGTCCGGGGGACGACGACGTAGAGCACACAGCCAGCAGAATTTTTGTAACACATCGTCGTGATGTGCGGTACATCGTGCAGAAAGCAGCTTGGGTCGTTTGGCGCCGCGTAGTTGCTGTTTGTGCAAGAGATAAAACCATGAAAGGAGGAGGTGCCTTGGGCCCCCCTTAATCCTCCCCTGCCATCCCCCTTCCCACTCCCGGCCGCCTGCCACCCTCCCCCTCGTC